TTGCCTTTCCCGATGTGGGTACTGAGGCAGGACCAGCTTCTGGTGACCCTACTGAAAGTAGGATGCCTCTAAGTTCAGCTATGGAAACAGGCCGAGTTAATAATTCAACTGTTAATCCTGATGAAGCTGAGGGAGCAGAACTTGCTCCGACCGCCATGGCTCAAGCTGAAACCACCATGACCACAAGTGTTGTGTCTACCAGCCCCGTCGTCATGACCGAGACTCGCATCGTGCTAAGTACTGCAGTCACTGCCGCCCCTATCACTACTGCAATGGTTGCTACAACTATAGACACTCCTATAATGTACACTACACAGCTAATTTTCACAGAAACTACGGTTTCTTCTGTCACTCCTCATGAAATGATGTCCTCTAGCAGCACACACTTTTCTCCTATCGTTTTGACGAGAAATTTTGCCGTATCGAAAATATTGGAGAATTTTCTCAGCATTTTGAGAGAATTCCTGCTCAGGTCTTAGATCGTGGAGGAGACTTTGCAGGAGTTAAAGAGGTGCTGGTGCCTTTCTTAGACCTGATGAAGAACTTGACCTCCGATCTCGCGGTATTGCCTTACTGGTTGCACTTGACCAAGGTTGAAGATCTTTTCAATCAATGACATAATCGTCAGTCTCGACCCCTTTACCCTTTAGCTGAAGAATGAGCAATGTGAACTATATGCTAGAGGGATGACTCCTTATTCGAACTTAACCGTCAATTGCTTAAGACCAAGCAACGAGTTAAGGAGCTTAAAGAGATCGAAGAGAATTTATCCCGTGAGGGTAAAAAGGTTGTAGACACTGAACTTCAAAAATAACGTCAAGTCGATCATCTTCTAGTTCAACTTAAGGCTCTTCAGACCAAGCTAGCAGAGGCTGAGGCAGAGTTGGTAGGCATGATGGATATGAGGCATACATTAGCCTCTAAACAAATGCAGCATCAGCCCTTGCTCCGAACAGAACTCGATCGAATGGAGCAGCTAGAAAAAGCTGTTAATGATATGAGCGCCTATTCTGATCAGGAGCTACGTAGACGTGCTTTGGCTGACATTGAAGCAGAACATCAAGAATCCTTAGCTAAGCTTGCTGAAGAGATTCATCAGACCGCTGGATCTATTTAGCTCCATTTTTTTTCTCCATTTTTTTTCGGACTTTTGTAGCCCCCCATTTTTTTTATATATAAGTGGAACTTCTGCTGTTTTTGCTCACTAGCTCTACTTTGCATCTCAATACATAATCTGATGCCAAAATTCATGAACTTCGTCGCGTTGAGATTTAAGACCTGAAGTACAAGTCTTATTGCTCTGATACGAGGTTAGATTCAAATCCCACTTTGTATTTTAAATCGGACATAACGATGTTCTAGCCTCGTTTAATTAAGCTTCGGCATTTGAGCCCAATTAAAGGAACGACCTTCATCAAAGACGAGGTTCAAATCCAATACCAATCAAGTTTTGACACTTGAATCCAATAAGAGGAACGACCTTCATTTAAGACGAGTTTCGGATCCAATTTCAATCAAGTTTTGACACTTGCGTTTAATTAGATGAACGACCTTCGTCGAAGACAAGGTTCGAATCCAATTTTAACCAAATCTCAATATTTGAGTTTAATTAGAGGGTTGACCTTCGTTGAAGATGAGGTTCAGACCCAACTTCAATCAAGTCTCAACACTTGAACTTAATTAGAGGAACGACCTTCGTCGAAGACGAGGTTCAGATCTAATTTCAATCAAGTTTCAACACTTGCATTTAATTAGAGGGACGACCTTCGTCGAAGATGAGGTTCAGACCCAACTTCAATCAAGTCTCAACACTTGAATTTAATTAGAGGAATGACCTTCGTCGAAGACGAGGTTCGGATCCAATTTCAACCAAGTGAACTTTCATCAAAGATGAGGTTCAAATTCAGCTTATCTCAAGTGAATGACCTTCGCCAAGTGAATGGCCCTCGTCAAGTGAATGACCTTCATTGAAGAAGAGGTTCAAATTCAACTTAACTTGGCTGAACCTTGACATTCGAGTTTTAATCGAAATAGCGACATTCGTCATTTTTTGACTTAGGAACGAGAATAAATCTCATTATACGACGTGACAATCTTTAACAGTTCCCAGATTGTTGATCCACATGGATCCGTCGCTTCATTTCGTCAACATCAAGTCTTGGGTACTTAATGCGTCGCTTTGAGCCACGTCGTCGTTGGGGCTAATTACGAACGCAATTGATTGCGTCACTTCGTTCCCAACACCACTTGGCAGTTTAGTGCTTAGGGATTCGTGTAACGAATCCCAGCCACTTGGTTGGCTCCTTCGCCTATAAATAGGCAGTTGCTTTTTGAGGGGATTCATCTTCCTCTTCTGTGCCTTGTTTCCAAAATGACTCAAATGGGACTTTGCATTTTAAGACTCCCACCTTCGCTTCCTACTAAATTCCAAGCTTCGATAATCATCGCCGTTGAGGTAGGCAAAGTTAATGACGTTGTCGCTTCAGGTAACTCTTCTGATCCGATCTCTGATCTCTTGGTCTTTGTAGTAGCTCGCTCATTTGAGGGTTTCTCAGTGTTCCAGAGTCGAAATCATGATACATTTTACCAATTCGTTGGACTTTTGAATGTAACCTCAAAGAGATATCCTAAGTCCAAATATACTTACTGTTTTGACATGCCATGCACCCCCAAGCATGTAGTCCATTTGCTGGATTTTGGTCTATGTGGCAGATTCACAGACTCAATGAAGTGCTTCCTTTCGGAGAAGTCAGCAACAATGTTAGGGCTGCCTTCACATTCTACGGAGATAGGAGAAGTGCTGATCCTATGCTCAGAGCTTGTGGTATTTCCATTAGTAGTCAGTTTACCCAAGTAGGTAGGCTCGAGCTACAAGCGCCAAAGATAAAAGTTGGGTATGGGGAAGACTTCATGCCCAGGAACGAAAGATGGAACTTCAACAACAAGACAGCGATGTTGTTGCGGACGAGGCTCGTAGTGCACTAAGGTCATGGAGCTTGTAATTGAACTTCGTAGTGTAGCTGAAAGAACTTATAATTGAACCTCGGATTGTAACTAAAAGAACTTGTAAAGGAACCTCATATTGTAGTTCGAGTCTTCTACGTTCAATCTATGTACTTCGAGTTTCTGTACTTTCAATTATATATGAATAAAATTTATATTTTATCCACATGTTGTTCCTTTGCATAACCGAAGCATTCTAACTTAGGATTTTTAGCAAACCCTCAGCTATCAACGGACTTGAGTTATCTTTACCAACTGCCGTTTGAGTTGGACTAGCCACACTTTTCCCCTCAGTGTGATGAGTTGTCAAAGTGTTTCTCTTAGACTTCAATGCTAAGATTTCTGTTCTATCCTTAGTCTCTTTTAGACTTCAGATCAAATGTATGATAACGAGGTTCAAAATATAACTAAGTATTAAGAACGAAGTTCAACACCTAGCAGACTCGTTGGGAAAACGAACGTCATTTATGAAAATGACGACATTAGGAATATCAAGTCGTTCAATGATTTAAAATAATAACAATAAAAAAACAAAGGCACATCACTTGGTAGGCCTAAGTTAGGAAAACGAACGTCATTTGGAGAAATGACGATGTTAGGAAGATCACACCATTCAGTGACTTTAGAAGTATGATGATGGTGATAGAAACGAAGGCACATCACTTGGTAGGCCTAAGTTAGGAAAACGAACGTCATTTGGGGAAATGACAACGTTAGGAAGATCACAACGTTCAGTGACTTTAGAAGTATGACGATGGTGATAGAAACGAAGATACATCACTTGGTAGGCCTAAGTTAGAAAAACAAACGTCATTTAGGGAAATGATGACGTTAGGAAGATCACATCGTTCAGTGACTTTAGAAGTATGACGATGGTGATAAAAACGAAGGCACATCACTTGGTAGGCCTAAGTTAGGAAAACGAACGTTATTTGGGGAAATGACGACGTTAGGAAGATCACATCGTTCAGTGACTTTAGAAGTATGACGATGGTGATAGAAACGAAGGCACATCACTTGGTAGGCCTCAGTTAGGAAAATGAACGTCATTTGGGGAAATGATGACGTTAGGAAGATCACATCGTTCAGTGACTTTAGAAGTATGACGATGGTTATAGAAACGAAAGCATATCACTTGGTAGGCCTAAGTTAGGAAAACGAACGTCATTTGGGGAAATAACGACGTTAGGAAGATCACATCGTTCAGTGACTTTAGAAGTATGACGATGGTGATAGAAACGAAGGCACATCACTTGGTAGGCCTAAGTTAGGAAAACGAACGTCATTTGGGGAAATGACGACGTTAGGCAGAATCAAACAATAAAGTAACACCTCACCTAGTAGGTTACTATTGGAAAGATATTGTTTTGAGCAAAAACCATCAGCTATCAGAGGTAGACTTGACATAATAATAGTCCCACTATCCTATTGAAGAGGATTAGTGAGGGCAATTTGGAGGAGACGAAGTAAGAAAACTATTACCTTTATTTGCTTCTTCTCATGCTGTAAGGCATATCAGACTGTGAAGCCTATGGGTAATATTTCTTTAGAAATTTATCATTGATAGGCATCATGAGTTTGTCACCATTTTGAGTAATAAGGCGATAAACTCCATTTGAGTAGACAGTTTCTACTACAAATGGCCCTTCCCATTTTGGTTCAAACTTCTCTTTCTTCTCAGAGTTCAAAATCATTGGGCGCCGAATGGCAAGAACCAAGTCACCTTCTTTGAATGTGCGGTATCTAACCTTTTTATCGAATGCTCTGGAAATCCGAGCTTGATAAAGCTCAATGTGTTACTGAGCCAATAGTCGCTTTTCATCAAGCACTTCCAATTTTTCAAGACGTCGGCAATGACTTTCTTCTGTCGTCATACCAATTGCGAGTGCTATTCGCTGAGATGGAATTTGGATTTCCAATGGTAATACGGCTTTACATCCATATACCAAGGAATGTGGTGTTGCTCTTGTTGGCGTGTGAACCGTTGTGCGATAAGCCTATAAACTTTGACCTAACTTCTCATTCCAGTCTCTTTTATTCGTCGAAACCACCTTAGTGAGAATTCTAACGATGGTCTTATTAAATGCTTCTACTTTCCCATTAGCAACAGGATTATAAGCTGTTGAAGCTAAATTCTTGATCCTGAATTTATCACAGAATCGGGTGAAGGCTTGGCTAACAAATTGGGGCCCATTGTCATGAATGATATGCCTCGGAACGTCGTACCTATATACGATGTGATGTTTTAAGAATTTAATAACATTACTCGTCTTGACTTCGCTCAACAGGATTGCTTCTGCCCATTTAGAAAAGTAATCAGTTATCGCTAAAATAAAGCGATGTCCTTTGGAAGAGGGTGGTGTCACTAGGCCAACAATGTCCATTCCCTATGTTTCAAAAGTCTATGAAGTGGTTGACGAATGAAGATGCTCAGGCGGTCGATGCATGTAATTAGCATGTATCTGGCAGACATGACATCTTTTAGCATAAGCGATAGCGTCTTATACCGTGTTAGGCCAGTAATAACCCAATCTACGTAGTTGGTCCCACAATTTAGGACCAGGCTGATGAGCTCCACAAATGCCATCATGAGCTTCTTTAAGAGCTTCTTTTGCTTCTCTATTTGACAAACAGTGAAGCAAAAGCCTATCGTATGACTTTCGATACAAAGTCTGGGATTGAGAATCATAGTAGAATCTAGGTGTTCATCTATGAATAGATTCTCTTTCCTTGATATCTTCAGGCAATAAGCCGTATAAGACATAATCAATGATCAGAAATCGCCAATCCTTAGGTTCGAGCATTGCGGGCTCACCTTCAATTGCGTTGATCTGCAATGTATACTTTGATTTGAATAATTGTCTGCTTGCTACCATGATTTGTTGAGTAGCTCTTTCAGGTAAAGCCAACGTGGCCGCAAGTGATGCCAATGCATCAGCATAAGTATTCTTGAGACGGAGTACATAACCAATATAGAAGCCCTCAAAGGAATCAGCCAGCGTGGTTGCTGCGGTATGGTAAGGAATAAGGTCTTCATTCCTTACTTTGTATTCTCCTTTCATCTGGTTAACAATAAGTTGAGAATCGCCATATGCTTCTAGGTGTTTCAACCCTATTTGTTTAGCTATTTCTAGGCCAACCAATAAAGCATTGTATTCGGCCACATTATTAGAGCACGGCTCTGTTAAAGAAACAGCGCGTGGCAGTACATGATTTTGGGGGGAGATAAAGATAACCCCCACTTCGGCAATAACTCGACCGGTTGGACTTGTCCTTGCTGCACCATCGAAGTATAGTTGACATACCTGTTCTTTAGAAACAACATTGGCTTCATATGTCTCATCTGGCATGTCCTTGTACAATTTGACTTTTCCTTTTAATGGATGGTTAGCCATAAGATCGCAAATAGCCTGACCCTTCATTGCCTTTTGAGGTTTGAAGTGAATATCATATTGGGAAAGCAACAAAGTCCATCTGGCGAGTCGCCAGTTCAATACACTAGGCTGTGTCATGAACACCCGAATAGGATTGGTCTGGGAAATGACATGTATGGTTTGCCCAACCAAATAATGTCGCATCTTCTGAACTATGAATACAAGCGCCAAACATTCCTTCTCAATAAGAGGATAACAGGGTTCAGCACCCGATAGAGTCCTACTGAGATAGTAAACAGCCTGCTCATGGTCGTTTTCATCATCTTGTGCTAAGAGTCCCGCCAATGCATGATCTGTAGCCCGGATGTATATCAAGAAAGGTTTACCTAACCTTGGTGCAACCAATATCGGTGGGTTGGAGAGATATTGCTTAATCTCCTCGAACGCTTTCTGGCAAGCCTCATCCCACATAAAGAATACTCCTTTCTTCATTAGTTTTGAGAATGATTGGCATTTCCCTGACAGGTTAGAAATGAACATGCGAATATACGCCAGTCGCCCTTGTAAGCCTCGAAGCTCCTTAAGATTCCTAGGAGGTGGTAGCTCTTGGATGGCTTTGACTTTGTTTGGGTCTAGATGAATTCTGTTAGCTGTGACCACGAATCCGAGAAATTTACCACTAGCCATTCCTATGAATGACTTAGTTGGATTCATCTTCAGCTGGTGTGCCCGCATAAGAGTAAACATTATTTTCAAGTCATGCAAATGGTTTCCCTTGTCACGACTTTTAACAACCAAGTCATCAACGTAACATTCTATAGTTTTTCATAGATGTTTTTAAAAGATAGAGGTCATAGCATGTTGATAGGTAGCACCCGTATTTTTTAATCCAAAGGGCATTACTGTATAACAGTATATCCCTGAAGGTGTTCGAAAGAATGTGTGCTTTTCATCATCAGGATACATTTTGATTTGGTTGTACCCTGAGAATCCATCCATAAAAGACATCCTTTCAAACCCACATGTGTTGTCAATAATGACGTCTGTGATAAGTAAAGGAAAATCATCTTTAGGACAAGCCGAATTCAAGTCTCGGAAGTCGACGCACACTCGAATCTTCCTATTCTTTTTTAGAACAAGGACGATGTTGGCCACCCAATCAGGATGTTGCTCTTCGCGAATAAATCCTAACTCAATGAGCTTTTTGACCTCAGCTTCAATTGCTTCCATGATATGGGGCCGAAATCGCCTTTGCTGTTGTTTAACAGGCTTGATGTCTGATTTGATGTTTAATCGATGCATAGCCACTTGGGGATTAAGCCCAAGCATATCCTCGTAGCTCTAAGCGAAGACATCAATATACTCTCGTATTAGAGTAATGAGGTCTTCCTTCTCTTCTGGCAACAAGCTATCGCTTATGAATATGGGTTTTGGATTAATCTTGTCTCCCATATTCACTTGAATCACTTTGTCATCAGTAGGGGGTTCATGTTGTTCAAAACGGTGTTCTCACTGTATACCCAGCTGTCGGCTTAGTGGATCATCAAACAGAAGTAATTGGTCATCTTCTTGATTTTCCATGGGAGATGCTGAGGTCATGTTGGCCATAAGTGCTTTTAACATAGTTCCTATACTGATATCAGACTCCCAGCAACTAGATTCAAAAGATGAGGTGTAAGAATCATCATCTGACTCTCCTTTGGTTCCAAAATGCAGCATAAATGGTGGAGATTCATAACCTAACCCACTACGAGTTTTGTGATAATAATCCTCCGACTTTCCTTCCGGGACATGAGCAGATCGGATTGGTGTCCGAATCCCTCTACCAAAATTTAAGCCTTTTTTATGGATGAAGTAATATCCCATATTCTTCATAAGCTTTCGGGTTGTTGGAGTGAAGTATGAGAATTACGGATCCCTTTTCTCTTTCTCTAATTTCTACCGTCACTCTTTCCAAAGATGATGTCTTTTTGGCCGTTAACCTTAGCCGATACTATAAAGACTGCTTGCGAAGATTTGATTTGTTGTCGATTTGTCACAAAAGACGACTGAATTGACATGTATAAATTTGATTCAGCATATAATTTGGATAGCGGATCCGCCACCACACTGGTGCTTGTACCTGGCATGTTAGGATTCAATTTATCACGCAATAAGTAAGATAAATCATCATTGTTATTAAAAATAACTCCTCTGTCCTTATAGACATGATCATTTACATCCAGATTTTTAAGACCGATTATGACGGGTTCTATGTCATTAAAAACAAGACCTTGTTCATGCTCAGACTCGGTATCGGCTTCATTGCTGCTATCTGGTTCTTCGATCAGTGGTACTTCAAATGGCTCACCATCAAGGTAATGGATAGAATCAGTGTTCTCCACCCCCTTGAATGGTTGCTTCTCTGCGACCACTGTTTTGACTTCACCACTCTCACCTATATATTTCATGCATTGGTGTAGAGTTGATGGAACAATCAGATTGTTATGGATCCATAGTCGACCCAATAACAAATTGTAAGATGTCTCTGCATCGATAACATAGCAAGTGACATCAGTCCTCAAATCACTCATCTGGCATTTGAGTTTGATTTTACCAAGGGGACGAGTATTAGATGTAGGATCTGAAATAGATACACTTGAACACTAGAGGGGGGGTGAATAGTGTTCTTTTAAAATTAATGCAAAGTATATTATAAATTGCAAAGAAAAATGGCAATCTCAGAAATTCACAATCACAAATACAAGGATTTTATACTGGTTCCACCAATCCGGTGTACATCCAGTCCCCAAGCAAATCCCGCTTGAGAGTTTTCACTATGATTTTGAATAAACTTACAAAATCAAATGCAAACCTGACCAATTTGCAAGTCCCTGCAAATTGCAACACCAATTGACAAACACCTTGCCAAATTTAGCACCAATCTCTAAACCAAGAGATTAACCCTCTCACACCCGAGAGAAATCCTTGTTGAAGCAAGAACACAATTGATCCTATAAGCCTTGAATGTGTAGTGAAGTGCAGCAGTGGCTTAGGATTCTTTTAACCTCTGTAAATTGCCTAAATAATATGTATTTGATGAATGTTTAGAGGCAATTTCAGAAACTTCTCTTTTTCACAAAATCTGAATGTTTTTCACTTGAAAAATTGTACAAAGATCAAAGCTTATGGGTATGTAAGTCTCTGCAATTTTTCTGAACAAATAACCTATTTATAGCCCTTGAAAAGACAATTTTTTAACCTTTAAAAATGTTTAAAAACGGCTATAAACTGTCAGATATTCAAACTTTGAAAACTGGAAAAACTGTATCTGTAGTCGACTACTGTTGACATTAGTCGACTACACTGAGTTCAAACAGACTCTGTGTATTCAGAAAATTTTCTCAGTAGTCGACTACAAAGCCCATTAGTCGACTACACTGTATTTTGACAGAAACTGATAAAATAAAATTTGAGTTCAGTAGTCGACTACTGTTGACATTAGTCGACTATACTGTAAAAACACAGAAACTTATGTTTCTGTCAAACACTTAAGTAGTCGACTATAATCACTATTAGTCGACTATACTATAAATTGACAGAAACATGTATTTGAGTTTTATACATGAGTAGTCGACTACTATTCTAATTAGTCGACTACTAAGAGCAAAAATTCTGCTATAAGGAGTTTTTATAATCAAGTTTTAACTATAATTCTAATGGTTAACATAGGGGATTTCTATAGTTAACCAACACACTAAGCCTGTGTTAGTGTGTTCTAAAATTGTGTGTGTGCGTGTGTGTGATCAAGGCTTGTACAATTATTCTAAGTAAAGAAAATGTAAAATACATTATCTCTTTTGTTCTTCATTTTCTTCACTTCAAAATGCCTTGAAATCAACTTGCACTTGTACATATTCTGATATTGAAATCTGCATATAAAAGTTAGTGCACACACTGTATAAATTGTTATCATCAAAACACTATCATGGAGATATGATATTCAACATTCTCCCCCTTTTTGATGATAACAAAATAATTTATGTATCAGATTAAAACTTAAAATAATCATACTTACTCCCCCTGCATATAATACTTACTCCCCCTGCATATATGCAAATTTTAGTTTATAACATACATAACTAAACTATAACAGTACATAACAAAACATAACTATTTCTCCCCCTTTGTTATCAACAAAAAGTGGAAGCTAAACATGACATTATTTCTTCAACATGGGCTAAAACTTCAAACAAATCATCCAGGTTATGAACATAGTCCATAACTTCACCCATCCAAATAGGTAGGCAAAGACTTGCCATAAAGATCAAAAGTTCCACAATGTTCATCACCATGATCTGTTTAAAATATGTAGCACATGCATTATCTAACCAAACATAATCATAGATAATAAAAACACATAATTAACATAATTGACATAGTAGCAACATAAGAAACATATTACATAAGTCCTAACAACACACAACCACATAGTTTTTGAAACTTAAACATAATAACATAATTGTTTTGACAATTAACATAAAAACATCTTAAGGTGCTGGAGGAGGTTGCTGTCCTTGAAAATACGTATTAAGCTTTGTGTCCAAGTCCTCAAACTTCTTGATTAGCTCTTCTTGATTACTAATGATGTATGAATTCTGTGCATATATAGCTCTTTGACCAGTTTCAAGTTCAAGGATACGTGCACTTAAAGTGTTGTATTGCACGTCTGAAAAGCAAGAGGGTTCTTTAGGAAATGGTGGTGGTTGACTTGAAGAAGCTCCTGCTTGAGTTGAAGATTGTGGAATTTCTTATTGATGAGGTTCAGGTTCATTTTGAGGATTATGTTCTTGAATTTCAAAGTTTGTCAATTTCATCCTAGTTAGGGCATTTGAATCAAAAAATTCAATTGAACGGACAACAGAATTTTCAGATTGGAGATCGACATGGAATTTGTCAAAGATTTTAGTTAGGAATGCACCATAAGGAAGAAATCCTCTTGGAATAGTCAGAAGATTGTCAAAGTAAACTTCAGCCCAATTAACTTGAATATTTCCCATTATAGCATATAGAGCTTTTGCTAAATCTAGGGAAATGAAATGAAAACTCCCAGTTTTTGGAAACAAGTTATATAAATCTAGGGAAATGAAATGAAAACTTCCAGTTTTTGGAAACAAGTTATAGGCTAATATTCGTGCAATGAACCTAGGAATTGGACGAAGTTTGTTTGAGTTATTTAAAGGTTTGCCATGTCCAGGAAGAAATATATGATCGGATAACAGATCTGAATTATTCATCCTAACAGAGTTAAGAGAAACTCCTTGATAAGGAATATTGAAGATTTTACCAATTGACTTTGTAGTTAAGTCAATCTCTATTCCTTTAACAAGAGTTTTGATTTTTTCAGAACCACCAATAGTTCCCACACGTTCTATATTAGTATAGAACAGTTGCACAAGAAATGGATATGTGGGTTTTTTTATTTTCAGCAGAGAACAGTTCAAGCAATCCCACATTTTCAAAATATGAACTAAAATTCCAAGGTATAAAATCATCAAATTTCACAAATCGTCCTGGAAGAACTTCAAAAGATGATAATTTGTTAAATTCTTCTAATAAATCAGGACTTTTTAAGTAGATGATGATTTCATCATTGATAGAGGTATGGGTTTGCTTAGCTTTCTTAGATCTAGACATGATTAGATAGATAAATAACAGAAAATGTAAAGATCAAGTTTAGAAGCAATACCCCAACTGTAGAAACCCTAGATTAGTCGACTATAGGTTGGATTAGTCGACTACAGAGCCTGAATGCTTGACAGATATGAAAGATTTGAAGAAAATGATGGAGAAAAATTGAGAAAAGAGAAATGCCCTAACCTGGAATCGATGACTCTGAAGTGGGGAAGATGGGGTTTCGGTTTTGGGTGTAGTTAGAGGGTAGTTTTTGCTTTTTACTTTATCTTTTAAGAATGAAAACAATGTATGGTTCAGATTAGATAGTAAATTGAATGTAGGGTTAAGATTTGATCTTAAATGTATGGTTAGGATTGATGTAGTTGGAAAAGAATGGTTGAGATGAATTTTACTTAAGTGAAACGGGTATGGGTATTGGGTTTTGGGTTTAAATCAAAAAATCCACTTGGCTTAAACTGTAAAACTGAAAGTTCAGAATCAGTAGTCGACTAATAGTGAGAGTAGTCGACTACACTGTGAACGACAGAAAGATAAGTTTCATTTTTTAACTCAGAGTATTCGACTAATCTATATTGTAGTCGACTACACTGTAAACAACAGAAAGTGTATTTTAAAATTTTACATTGAGTAGTCGACTATAAAGGTAAGTAGTCGACTATACTGTAATTTTTCAGAAAAAATTGTTTGTGAGACTTGTGCATGTAGTCGACTATAAGTCACATTAGTCGACTATTTAGGGTATAAATTTATATATGTTTGTTTTAAAAATTAATTTAAATCTTCAATTGAACATATACCTAATTCTCTTCTTAATTTAACATAAATTTCTTCTTTTAGGGGTTTTGTTAATATATCTGCTATTTGATTATCTGTTGGTATAAATTCTAGTGAAATGTCACCTTTAAGTACATGATCACGTAAAAAATGATGTCTAATATCAATGTGTTTTGTACGTGAGTGTTGAATAGGATTTTTAGATAAATTAATTGCACTAGAATTATCACACATAATAGATGATATGGGACAATTTATGCCATAATCAGTTAAAGTTTGTTTCATCCACAATATTTGTGCACATGCAAGACTTGCAGCAATATATTCAGCTTCAGTTGTTGATAATGATACTGAATTTTGTTTCTTACTAAACCAAGATACAAGTGAATGTCCTAAGAAATGACATGTTCCACTTGTACTTTTTCTATCAGATTTACATCCGGCAAAATCAGCATCATTATATGATATTAAATCAAAAGAACGATGTTTTGGATAAAATAAACCATAATTTGTAGTATCTTTAATATATCTAAATATTCTTTTTACTGCTTTAAGATGTGAATCTTTAGGATAAGATTGAAATCTTGCACATAAACATACACTAAACATAATATCAGGTCTACTAGCAGTAATGTAAAGAAGTGATCCAATCATACCTCGATAGAGCTTTTGATCAACATTCTTACCATTTTCATCTTTGTCAAGTGATGTAGTGGTGCTCATTGGTGTTGGTTTACTTGATGAATTTTCCACTCCGAATCGTTTGAGTAAATCTTTTTCATACTTACTTTGATTGATGAAAATTCCTTCTTTCAATTGTTTAATTTGAAGTCCAAGGAAGAAATTTAGTTCACCCATGTGACTCATTTCAAATTCATCCTGCATAGTCTTAGCAAATTCTTGACAAAGATTGTTGTTAGTAGAACCAAAAATAATATCATCTACATATATTTGAATTAGTAAAATATCTTTATTTATTTTCTTAATAAATAATGTTGAATCAACTTTTCCAATATCAAAACCTGAAGTTAAAAGAAATTTCTTTAATCTATCATACCATGCACGAGGTGCTTGTTTAAGACCATATAATGCTTTCTTAAGTTTAAAAACATGATTTGGAAAA